CAAGTTCCTCCTGCCCCAGGGCTCTCCTGCCCAAGGACCCCAGCCCCACCTGGGGGAAGCTCTCTGTCCCCATAAGGAGCTCAAGTCCCAACGGAGGGTGTCTCTGTGTCCTACGGATCTGCACACCCACAGTAGGTGGGCACAGGGGTAGTAACTGTCCCCGATACAGTGTGCCTGGGGCCAAATTAGAGAGCGTAGATGTGTCATTTTTAACGTCGGTGAAGGCGTTTCAAATTGGAACTGTCCATGCAAATAATCTATAATCAATCTATAAATCAAAACTGGAGTGAGTTCATTATGAGCCAGGTCTGAGGACTATAGCTCAGGGGAGCTTCCTTCCCCAAGGACGGCAGGGCACCAAAGAAGTGGGGTGTACAGAGCCGTTATATACCATCTTGGAACAAAGAGCATCCATCACATATGACAGGAATGTCCCTTTTACTGCTGTCACGAGATGCTTAGCTGGCACAGAAGCTCAGTGGTCACCGGGTGAGCAAAGAAGGTCACTAAGTAATCCTTAGTTCCCAGGAAGAGACGCTCATCCTTAGAGAAATGCGGAGATGGGGGGAAGCTACATCCATATCTTTAAGGTCATTGTTCTTGTCTTTGGGACACTAAATATTTAAAGCAGATGCACCAAGCATACTCAAGAGGCGATGATGTCAGGCCCTTTTGGAAAAACAAGCTCACGCCGAATACGTTTTACACCCAATGGCTTCCTCATAGACTCCAACACATCCTGTTGCTTTTCATTTATTTATCAGAACTATTTCCAAGAGATTATCCTTGGTGAACAAGTGCCCCAGGGATTCGGGGAAACTCAGAATATGTGAGCTGTGCTGGATATTCAGTGTCCTTCCTGTTCCGTGTTAGGAGGTCACTGCATGATGGGGTTCCCTTGGTGCTGGCTTTGCAAGGACCTGCCCGGGTTACGACACCAGCAGGCAGAGGAGAGGGAGGCAGGAAATTTATCCCAGACTTCCTACCCAGTCGCCTCTCTCTCCGTCCACACACAAACACACACATGCCTGGTCTCAGCCTGCATTATTCTGCTTGAGCTAAAATAACAAATACCACAGACTGGGCGGCTTAAAGAACGGACATTTATTATCTCCCAGTCCTGGAGGCTGGAAGTCTGAGATCCAGGTGTCACAGGGCTGGTTCCTCCTGAGGCCTCTCTCCTTGGCGTGTAGACGCCGTCTTCTCCCCGTGTCCTCACGTGGTCGTCCTTCTGTGCGTGTCTGTGTCCTCATCTCCTCTTCTCATGAGGACACCAGTCCTATTGGATCAGGACCCACGTTAATGACCTCATTTTACCTTCATCACCTCTTTAAAGACCCATCTCCAAATATAGCCCCATTCTGAGGTCCTGGGGGTTGGGACTTCAACATGTGAATTTGGAAAGAGGGGGACACACACACTCCAGTCCATAACACATTCTCTGCTGGCATGGTGGGGCACGTGGCTTTCCAACAGTTCCGTCTCCAGATGCAAGAAACAGCTCCATCTTGCACCTCTCCAAGCCTAAGGGTGTGACAAGTAACTCCTTCACCTTGCTACAGCCTCAAGCCCACTCTCCTCAAATTATCCAATTCCAGGTGACTGACGGAGAGACTCCAGCCTCCAGGAAAAGAGGTTGTTCACAGGCATCAACCAAAGCCAAATCCATCTCTGGCTAATTCTGCTCAAGTAAATTCCCCTTTAGGGTAGAGAATGAAATGATAGCTGGGCACTCTCCCTCCCCAGGGCCCCAGCTCCTTCCCCATAGTCGTAGTTTATGGAACATGGAGCCAGCACTTTCAGCTAGCTGTGCCCTGCATCCCTGGACCACTGAGTCGCCTCTGAGCCATTCAGCATCACCTGTGCCCCACCACCTCCCTCCCCAGACCCATCCACATCTTTGTCCCAAGTGGCTTTGAAGCCATAGAGTCCCCAGGTCCTTCAAATTGATTCAGACCCATAGAATCAAGGCTTATCCTCCCTTCCCCAACCCCACAACTCCCGACCAAATAGTAGTTCTGGGGGCACCAACTCCCACTGCCCAATCCTCCTAAACACTCACGGCAGCCCTTACTTTGTTCAGATAATTTGCCCAAGGGCACCCAAGGCTCCTGCTCTGCATAGTTTGGGGAATCTTCCCTCCCTCCAACGTAGAATTTCTTCAGGGGATCATATGTGGACTCCACCCCTGCCTAACCTTCATGCAGAGCTACTTCTGGACTCCTGGCTTCTCGTCCCCTCCCTCCAGGCCCCCACTTTCTCTATGTGTGCTGAAGCAGACAACCCCAGCTGGAAAGTCCTCCACTGATAAAAGCTCCTCGACAGTCATTAATAAGCAGGACAAAGAGAGAAGCAATAAACAATGCCCAAGAATTAATCCCACCAGATGGGTCATCCCGATAAATGGAAGCAAACTACATCCTCCAACTAAAGGGCAAAGGTCTTCTCTAAACAGAATCTCCAGCCCCATTTCTGGAGATTCCAACTCAGTGAATTCAGGGTGGAGTTCTGGACTGTGGGTTTTCAACAAACATCCCCAGAAGACTTAGGGCAGCCCACCCCAGCCTCCAGGCTTTATAGAAATGCATAACTGAGGGGGAAAGGTAAAAAGAACAACTCCGGGGCAGCGAATGGGGACCAGGACCTGGATATGACCACCAGGCAGACCCTCGAGGTAAAGTCCCTAAAGTCTCCTGGCTTCCGGTCCAACTAAACTAGTTCGAATTTAACACCGCCCCCCC